GGGACAGTCATTGAGTCTTAATGTTCTAAAACAATCATGACTTCATGTCTAGTGTCCTGGTGCAAGGGCGTGTGCCCAAGGCCTTGGGCAGCCCTACCTTTGTGGCTTCCCTAATGCTGCCCATAAGGCTGCTCTCATGGGTTGGAGTTGGGTGCCTGTGACTTTTCCAGGCTCAAGGTACAAGCAGCCTCTGGATCTGCCATTCTGGGGTCTGGAGGTTAGAAGCCCCCTTCCATAGCTCCACTCGGCAATGTCCTGGTAGGCACTCTGTATGGAGGATCCAACCATACATTTTCCTAGCGATTGCCCTAAAAAAGTTACTTTGTCCCCTAAAAGAGGGAAGCACGTAGTAAATGTTAATTAAATTTAATGATGTATTTGAAAGCTTCATGGTCATACAAACACACATACATGCACAACAGCACAGCAAAGACACATCAGAATGCCCATGCAAAGCGAATGTATATCTAAACACCAAACAACACACATGAACTTTCGTTAACAAGACAAGGACTTCTATAGATCACTCATGCACAAATATACAAAATGTATTTTTGCATTTGTGAATGTCTAGAGGAAAAGAATCTGTTGAGAAAACTTCTTCAGGTGACAGAGATCTGTTTAAGTTGGAGATCTCACAGGAGTGTGTCTTTGAGTGAATACTGGTCTATTAATTAAATAGATCAAAATTCCCTCTGTTGGAACAGCCTTCCAATTATGTAGATTTCTTTATTGCTTCTTGAGTTGTGAAACATAAACCTAAAGACTGAGTTACTGGAATTTGACTGCAGTGTTGATAAAATTTTTGATATGGTTTCTTCCAATGATTTAAGAACAGATTTCCTGTGTCTTTACTTCAGGAAATGAATTTTCACAAGGTCTCAGGACACCGTGTTTCAGGTACTTTAGTTAAAGAGACTGATTCCTGGGGGCAGGCAGCTTTCTTCTAACGATGAACTTACTTCTTCTGCAAAGCATTCTGTTTGTGACTCTATTGCCATGACCCAGGAAGTCCAGCTGACTTCACCTCTCAAAACCTCTCAATGCTGTTGTATCAGGAGAAGGAGTTCCTAGAAAGAATCTGACTCAATGACACATGGATAAAGCATTGTTTGGAAGCATAAGTATTCGGGTGTGGAATGGCAAAATCTTATAACCTGGTTGGCAACAGAATTAGCCAGTCTGAGACAGCAGGTGAACCAAAGCAGATGTCTGGAGGTAAATGGAAATTAGAAATGATTATTCGGCTGGGCGCGGTGGCTCACGCCTGTAATCCCAGCACTTTGGGAGGCCGAGGCAGGCAGATCATCTGAGGTCAGGAGTTCCAGACCAGCATGACCAACATGAAGAAATCATGTCTCTACCAAAAATACAAAATTAGCTGGGCATGGTGGTGCATACCTGTAATCCCAGCTACTCAGGAGCCTGAGGCAGGAGACTCGCTTGAACCCAAGAGGCAGAGGTTGCAGTGAGCTGAGATCCAGCCATTGCACTCCAGCCTTGGCAACAAGAGCGAAACTCTATCTTAAAAAAATAAAATAAAATACAAAAATAAATAAATAAAATAAAATAATTTTAAAAAGCTTTATAAGTATAATTCATACTCCCAAACAGGTGGCTCAATCAATACATAAGGAAACATAAAATGACAAAAAATAGCCTACATATGCAATTTCTATTTGTGAGAAGTAAGTGAACATCCAGGAGAGTGATTGCATGTCCCCTTCTCCATCTCTGATTTAAAGCAGATCAAGGCAGACCTGGGGAAGTTTTCAGATGATCCTGATAGGTATATAGATGTCCTACAGGGTCTAGGGCAAACCATCGACCTGACTTGGAGAGATGTCATGCTATTGTTACATCAAACTCTGGCCTTTAATGAAAAGAATGTGGCTTTAGCTGCAGCCCGAGAGTTTGGAGATACCTGGTATCTTAGTTGAGTAAATGATAGGATGCCAGCCGAAGAAAGGGACAAATTGCCTGCCAGTCAGCAAGCCGTCCCCAGTATGGATCTCCACTGGGACCTCGACTCAGATCATGGGGACTGGAGTCGCAAGCATCTGCTGACCTGTGTTCTGGAAGAACTAAGGAGAATTAGGAAAAAGCCCATGAATTTCTCAATGATGTTCACCTTAACTCAGGGAAAGGAAGACCTCCTCACAGATGAGAAAGGAGAACTATGCACCTCTTCACTGCCATGAATCATGAAGCTTTTACACTCCTGGGTCGAGTGGGGACTTGGAGAACTTTTCTGTCTTATAAGAGGTTTGTAAAACGCACCAATCAGCGCTCTGTAGTTAGAGGTTTGTAAAATGCACCAGTCAGGGCTCTGTAGTTAGAGGTTTGTAAAACGCACCAGTCAGGGCTCTGTAGTTAGAGGTTTGTAAAACGCACCAGTCAGGGCTCTGTAGTTAGAGGTTTGTAAAACGCACCAGTCAGGGCTCTGTAGTTAGAGGTTTGTAAAACGCACCAGTCAGGGCTCTGTAGTTAGAGGTTTGTAAAACGCACCAGTCAGGGCTCTGTAGTTAGAGGTTTGTAAAACGCACCAGTCAGGGCTCTGTAGTTAGAGGTTTGTAAAACGCACCAGTCAGCGCTCTGTAGTTAGAGGTTTGTAAAACGCACCAGTCAGCGCTCTGTAGTTAGAGGTTTGTAAAACGCACCAGTCAGGGCTCTGTAGTTAGAGGTTTGTAAAACGCACCAGTCAGCGCTCTGTAAAATGGACCCATCAGCAGGACACAGGCGGGGACAAATAAGGAGATAAAAGCTGGCCACCCCAGCCAGCAGCGGCAACCCGCTCGGGTCCCATTCCATTCTGTGGGAGCTTTGTTCTGTCTCTCTTCGCAATAAATCTTGCTACTGCTCAATCTCTGGGTCCGTGCCGTCTTTAAGAGCTGTAACATTCACTGCGAAGGTCTGGGGCTCCATTCCTGAAGTCAGTGAGAGCACGAACCCACTGGAAGAATGAACTCTGGACACAGTTGCATCTGCCACCCTCAGGCTCCAAAGTCAGTAAAAACACAGGACTCATGAGAACTGCTATGTTCACAGGAACACTTTATTACAGCAAAATAATACAATTCAAAATACATGGGGAAAAAGGCACAAGGGGTGAAGCCCTGGAGAATCCAGGCACAAGCGCTCAGGGGTCCTCCCAAATGCAGCCTCCCGCACATGTGTAATTCTCCAGGTATGAGGTAAGATGGCTTGTGTGAAGTGTCGACCCCCAGGAGAGGGCCCCTGAGCTTTGTTGTCCAGGGCGGTGTTTTGGGAATGAACCATAGACTATGGAACACCTGGGTAACTGACCACAATACTCAGACAACAGCCATCCTCAGGAAAAAAAAAAAGTAGCAGGCACTCACTACAAAGCACTGTGATTAAACTCGTACCGCATGTTCCAAGGCTGCAGACATCCACAGACACTGTGGTCTGGCATAACATTTTAAGGACTCAGAGCTCTCATCCAGGAGGTAACTGAGAGCCCTACATGAACAATTTTTTTTTTAGGAATGTGCAGGGTTTAAACAATCCAGGCCTGCTGAGTTAACCCTCTACTGTATACACATCTCGATCAGAGGGCAGCAGGGACATTCAATGAAAGGCCAGACTCAGCAGAGAGGGTAGAGATGGCCAGGTTAGGACCCCAAGGAGCAGCCGGAGAGACTGTAGGAGGGAAACTGAGAGCCTCTGGAGGGGCCTATGGGTGTACCATAGCTGTGAGTTTAACCAAAGCTGTTGGGTTTCCCAGGAGCCCAAGAAAATGGTGCCACAGTGAAGGGTGTGGGGAAGTGGCCATAAACATCAGTGGATGTGTGCAGGAGGGGAAGGGAGCCAGTGGGGTTAAGAATGAGGAAAGAGAGCAAGGGATATGGGCATTCCTTACAGAAGCAGGTTCAGCAATAAGCTTTCAGATGCCTCTTGCCTGGACTTCCATCAATATGTCAAAGATAAATTGGAGGTATGTTTCCCATCTGACAAATACCAGAGTGGGGAAGGAGCTGGAGGCGTTGCTAGGAGAAAACACCCTGGACGTAACCACAGCCCCTTTTGTCCTCACACTGCCCTGCCTGTCCTCCATCCTCACAGCATGGAAGTTCTCATCTTTGTCCTATGGTGGGAAAAGCATCTGGTTCTTGGAACACTAACAAGACCTCCAGACACGTGTAGGTGGTGGAGTCTACTGTACATCTTGCATTTCCAAACAAGTTCTCTATCTACTTTTCATCAATGTGTTCATGAAGCTTCGGGGCAAGTGAAATAAGGCAGTCACCAAACAGTGAAAAAAAATCACCTATATACTCATGTTTGGATGACTCCTGGGTTTCAGAATCAAAGAATTGGACAGAGAAGCACAAGCATTGCTGCTCAGGACGTCTGGACACCACACATGGATGCTGAAATTCACAAAACACCCATTATAGTAAGACGGAGATCCTCACTTTCATTCAATGTTTGAGCTTACTGATCAATTAGGAAATACTAAAGGTCGATTTGTTAAAGAAAAAATACGTATACAAAGACACTTGTTCCAGCACAGTAAGAAAGACTTTATCCAGGGCCCTCATGACAGGTGTAGGGACCAGGGCAATGGGATTTTTGCAGTGGGGAGGGAGATTCAGCAGAACTCCAAATACAGAATGAGAACGTGGGGATTTATAGGCATGCAGCAAGGTTGGGGCAAAGGATGGAAAATCACCAAGAAGAAACATCAGGACTGAGGGAAATCCTGCTTAAGGCAGCCTGCCAGGATTTTTGTTGAAGTTAGACCAGGGTGATCAGATGTCACCCAGGTTATGGTGAAGGACAAGGAACCTGGTAAGATATACAGGAAAATCAGACACTCGGTATGGGGAAACCTGGCTAAATCAACACTCCAGAATTCCAGGTAAAACCGAATTTTACAAGACAGTGCAGAGAGAGAGGCTTAGGATAAGATTCAGGAGCCTCCTAACTTCTCGTGAAGCAAATAAGCTTTATCAGGTTGGGACACATAAATGGTGTCACTTTCTGCTGACCAAGCTCACAACTAAATGAAATGAGAACAATGCATCACAAAATGTAAATTGAACCATATTCTGAATTTCTGAAGATGGTAAGTGGCAGAATGAGCTGAGATGTGATAGATCAGCGGGTCTCCTAATTCTGAACCCCACAGTTAGTTCTCGGCCGTGTTCACTGAGTTCACTGAGTTCAGCACAGCTCGAGGTTCCCACACGCACAAACACCTGACTCCATGAATCTGCAACCGGGGGTCTCTGCAGGCTCTGAGGTGCACAGGACAGATCCCACCTCAGAGTCAGCCTCAGGTAATTATCTGCTCTTCCTGTGGGGAGAGGAGGAACAGGGTGGAAGGAGGGCCAGCTGTTTGCTACTCAGGATCTCTGTACATGAAAGAAAACAAGGAAAGTGGGGAACACACGTCCTCAACCTATGTTACACTTCCACATGAGATAGGCAACTCCATGCCAGGACATTCTGCAGAATCAAAGCACTCGAGGTAAATGTAGAAATCACCATTGTTTACAGACTGCATGTTTGTTTCTATGTCATCCACAGAAATGAATTAAAAGCCTGTGTTCTGTATAGAACCCACACAGTGTGGGCCCTGAGTCAGCACCTCCCTGCCTCCACCTTCAGGGAGCACAATACACCTGACCCAGGTGCCCAGGACACTCTGTCTTCCATGCCATGGCTGGTGCTGGAGCCACGTCCTGTGCTCCACTCTCAGGAGAAGAACGAGCTCTGCACTGATCTGAGCAGAGCCCCTGCTGGGAGTCACTGGGTCCCCGATGGGAAACTTTGACACGACTCTGACTCAGTGCCCTTGCTGGACCTTCTAGAACAGCACAGAAGTTTAAGAAAGTTCCTTCCAGTCCTCCTCCCTCTCTCCTTCACTCAGGGACTAACTTCCCTCCCATGCCTTCAGATTCCCCAGCCTCCTTCCACTCCCTCTGCATTTCCTCTCAAAAGCGTGGACGGGTTCCTTAGGACACTGTACACAAACTTAATCCAGTCACAGAATGTGCTTCTCTGAAGACCAACACTAACACACATGTGTTGGTAAACCTGTTTATAACACCAGCCAGATTCTACTGACAAGTATATGACATGAACTGACCACGGCAATCACCAGTTTTACGTGTCTCCTTGGTTAGAACATAGTCTCAATTATTAAATCATACACTAATCTAGGTGTTGCTCTGATGGTTTAATATAGGTGTTATCGAAGCCTGCCATCAATTTTCTCAAGCTAGGAAGATAGCACTAGTTAACCTGGGTGTGCCTGATTTAATTCTAGCAGAACAGAAGACAACACAATTCCCTGATGGATGGCAGGTGCAGCTCTTTCCAAGAACTCCAGTCTGTCATTCCTGATGGACGGCCCTAGACACGCCTAGACAGAAGACACAACTGCTGTCACCAAGATCTCTCCACACACTGAGGGTCCACGCTAAGCTTCCTCAAAGTCACAGGTGAGGAAAGTGACACAGGTAGTTTGAGCAGCTCCACATCACAAATCTAGACAGGGTTCTGGGGAAACTGCTAGATGGAGAAACAACTAAGTCTCTGAGAGGAAACCAGCCCTTAACCTCCCTGGGCACCTGGTCCCTGAGTTAACTGTGTTCTTAATGTATCCTGAGAGCCCTCTGCAGCCCACACCCCTGTCTTCCTGCAGGGAGGTTTGTGTCTGGGCTCTCACTGACTTCCCCTCACTGTGTCTCTACTACAGTAATACAAGGCCGTGTCCTCAGCTCTCAGCCTGTCCATTTGCAGATACAGTGTGTTCTTGGCGTTGTCTCTGGAGATGGTGAATCGGCCCTTCACGGAGTCTGCGTAATATGTGCTACCACCATCCCAACTAATCCGAGATACCCACTCCAGACCCTTCCCTGGAGCCTGGCGGACCCAGCTCATGGCATAATCATCAAACGTGAATCCAGAGGCTGCACAGGAGAGTCTCAGGGACCCTCCAGGCTTTACCAAGCCTCCCCCAGACTCCACCAGCTGCACTTCACACTGGACACCTGCAAACACAGAGACACCCTGGTCAGAAACTGCCACCCATAGCCACTGTTTCTCTCACTCATGGTCACTCACACTCAATTTCTCTAGTTCTCCATAAATCACCTTTTAAAATAGCAACAAGGAAAACCCAGCTCAGCCCAAACTCCATGGTGAGTCCTCTGTGTTCAGTGCTGATCACCGAAAGGAAACACCTGGAAATCTCAGGGCTGGGCTCTCTCCCAGAGCTGCAGGGTCAGGGCTGGGCTGGTTTTCATCAGCAGAGGGAGGGACCTATTTGCATATCTCCTACTATATACCGAGTTCTGGAAGGGATGCCTCAGGGTAGGCTGTGTCCCAGCATGGATGTGAGTGACTATGCTTCGTAAATAATTAATTCTCATTAGCGTTTCTACTTAGAGATGCACATGAAGTGTGTTCTGTGGGAGTCAATGTTTCCTTCATTTACAGATGTAAATGTAAACCCCCAATCCCACAGGGGCCATGGAATATGTCTAAGAGCTCACATCTGGTAAGAGCCAGTCTCGCTGTCTGGCCTATGTTTCTTATGGCTGGATCCGACTGCTCCCTAAATTAACTCTAGGACAGAGCTAGAAATTCCGAGTGAGGTTTACAAATTCCTCTTCTTACAATGATATCATGATATTATTTGGCTGTATCTTAGTGTTTTTCTAAGTAATATAGAAAAACTGAGGGTTAACTCACGTGTTGATTCAGCAGTTCATGACTTTTCTGGTATTATTTTTATTTCTCTCTTCATCTTTTTTTTTTTTTTAACCAAATTATACACTTTTATTTGGAATAGTTTTAATGCGGTAATATTGACAAATAATCTTCACACAATATGTTCACCTTTTGAAAAATATTGACATAATCACCATTCACAGAGAAAACAAATCAATCCATCTCACAATTTTCTCTTTCTCCTGCAGTTTCACCTTCCTACACCGTCCCTCCTCTTACCAGGTAGAAGTCAGTTGGGGAATCATTTTTACATGACTTGCAATGAGTATTCACTTTGTACAGTTTGTAAAATGGAATCGTATGTATGTGCTTTGGCTCGTGATATTCATCGTAAGTACATGTGCATTGAACCACGCTGTGGAGCGTATCCAACATTAACTGACTGCAGTAGTGGCTACTGTGCCAATAAATGCTGATAAAGGTGTGGATTAATATTTGGATTGGTTTCAGTTTGTGTGTATTTCAAATAAAGCTGCTGCTCTGCTTAGAGGAGTACACAGCTGAGAAACATGTTCTTAATCTTACAACAACATGAACAACAGCTAAACTGGTCAAGTTGCAAATGAATCACTCTTTTTAGTACATCAGGTAATTAAAGTTATAGCACCCAGCATGTTTGTCAGTGTGTGTGAGAGAAAGAAAGAAGGAAGAAATGAGACTGAAAAAGAAATTCTACATAATTATTAATTTGTGAGGTCCTCAAATGCAGGGACTTATTCCTAATGAACAGGGTCCACATAGGTTGAAGAGGGTAACTTGATGCGCCCACATATGGCTATAGATTTATAACATTAATGTCATTTTCTAAACTCATAAACACTCATACACATTAGAATAGATGTAGTGGAGGGCATCCAGTGGCGCAATGAGAAGGTGACACTAAACCCCCTCTCCAGGGCCTTTCCCCGCCTGCTGCACCTGCCCTGATACTGAGCCTTGAGCCTGCCTGACCACTGAGCCCTACAGTGGTCCTGAGCCCCCATGCAGTGCCAAGTGCCCCTTGGGTTTCCTGAATGCCCGCCTCTGTCCTCAGCACCCCCTGCTGTCCTGTGAACTTCACAGGGAGGTTTGTGTCTGGGCTCACACTGATGTCCCCTCACTGTGTCTTTTGCTTAAAAATACGTGGTTGTGGCCGAGAGCAGTGGCTCACGCCTGTAATCCCAGCACTTTGGGAGGCCAAGGCAGGTGGATCACGAGGTCAGGATCTCAAGAACAGCCTGGCCAACATAGTGAAACTCCGTCTCTACTAAAAATACAAATATTAGCTGGGCGTGGTGGTGAGCAACTGTAGTTCCAGCTACTTGGGAGGCTGAGGCAGGAGAATCACTTGAACTCAGGAGGTAGAGGTTGCAGTGAGTGGAGATTGCACCACTGAACTCCAGCCTGGGTGACACAGTGAGATTCTGTCTAAAAACAAAACAAAACAAAACAACAACAACAACAAACATGGTTGTGTGCTTGTTGCTCCCATAGCTCAGCCATAGGAAGAACTGTTTTTGGACATAGATCTGGAGGTGGTGACTGGACTCTTGAGGAGTGGGTTGGAATTTGTCCTCCCTTCATGACCTGTGCACCTGACCCACTCCTGTCCCTCCACTGGGGGCTGATGGATCCAGATCCAGCAGGAAGCACTGGTTGTGATGAGGAATCCACCATATAAACTGAACTGTTATTGTCGTTGATACACTAAACAAAACGTGGCACTCATTTTTATTGTGTTGAGATACACATAACATAAAATGTACCATTTTAGCCCTCAGTAAACGTGTGGGTCAGTGATGATTTACCCATTCACCATGCTGTGCAACCACTTCCACTATTTGGTTTGGGAACATTTTCATCACAGAAAAGGAAAGCTCACCTCCATTAAGTGGTCACTCTCCGTTTCCCTTCCCCTGACCTCCTGTGATCTGAGATTTTCCTCCTCTGCAGGCTTCATGTCAATGGGACATTTCAGGATGTGGACTTCCGTGTCTACCTCGGTTCATTCACCCAATGTTTTCAAGGCTCATCCAAGTTTCAGCCTATGTCAGTGCTTCACTCCTCTGTAAAGCTGGGTTAGAGACATACAGACACACCACAGTGCCTGCATCCCTGTGGGTTACAGACACACAGACACACCACAGCATCTTCATCCCTGTGGGTTACAGACACACAGACACACTACAGCGTTGTCACCCCTGAGGTAGCTGATGGGCACTTGAGTTGTATTTTCCATTTGACTACTGTGAATGGTGACACCAGGTACATTTGTGTATAAGGTTTTCTGTGAAGACCATTTTCCAAGGTTGCTGTCCCATTTCAATACCAACTGGCAACCCACGGCCATTCCAAATTGAGTATGTCTTTACCTGATTATGTTTTTTCTCTTTAGTTTTGAATACTTGTTTTCTCAGTGTGTTCAAGGCAGTAATCTACAAGGAACTTAAATCAGCAGCATAACCCAAATAACCACATTTCAAATGGGAAAGGGATGTGCTCATAAACTTCTCAAATGCAGACATAGAAGTGGCCAACTAACATACAAAAAATGTTCAGCATCCTCAATCATCAGATACGTGCAAATCAAAACCAAATGAAATCCTATCTAACCCATGTCAGAACTACTATCAATAAAAGGTAAAAAATTAACAGATGCAGGCAAGGCTATAGAGAAAAGCGCCACTTACATACTTTTGGTGAAAATGTAACTGGGCCCAGGCACTGTGGAAATCAATCTAGAGATTTCTCAACTTAAAACAGAGCTGCCATTCCCCTCAGCAATCTCATTACTGGGTATATACCCAAAAGAAAACAAATCATTGTAACAGAAAAACACATCCACTCACGTGTGTATCACTGTGCAAATCACAGTACCATAGACATTGAATCAACCTAAATGTCCATCAGTTATAGACTGGGTAAAGAAAACATGGTTCGTATACACAGGGGAATACTATGCAGCTATAAAAAAAGAATGAAATCATGCTTATTTGCAGCTACTTGGATGCAGCTGGGGTCAAAAATCTGAAGCTAACTGACATAGAAACAGATGATAAGAGTCAATGGGAGAGAAAATGAACATTTTGGGTGTTGCTCTGTGTAAAATTAAGAAAAGAAATCCCCGGGTACATGAACTCTTGAAATACAAAAGCCTGGAGACACTCCTGTCCTTGCTTCCATTTCATTAGGTTGTGCTTTCTCTCATTTTTATTCAGTTAAAATTGTTTTCCTTTACTCTTGGTCCAAATAGCCACACATAATCATATTACAATAAAAATAACATATCTGAATATTATCTAAATTAGGAAAATTTGTTTACATCTTTTAGATTAGATTCCTATTGAAATCCTTGATCTAATACCATCTCTGATGCATCATACATCAGTAACGAAACTGGAGGTTATGCATTCAATTGGGTAGTGCAAACTTGCATTCACAATTTGTTCTTCTACCTGATGTAAAGTCAGTCCGGAAGGCAGAAGTTATTGCCACCAACATAGCTCGCCAACAAGCCAGAGACAAGCATTAAAGCCATGTTCCAGAGGAGTGCCTGACTTTGGGATGTGGGATGCTGTTCACACAAAGAAATTCCTCACATCTTCTGGAACATGTAAAAATGCACAACAAAATAACAAATTTTAGATGCACTCCTACATTTTAGAGACCTGACTAATGTAACTTAGAAAGTAAAAACCAAAGGAAAAATGACATGGCATAACATCTAAAAGTATACATATTGTAGTGGGTTATCACACCAAGCAAGCAGTCTTATCAGTCAGGAGTTTATAATATTATCTGAATATGGAAGGCATTAGAATTATGTATACAACACAGCATCCGTCCCCTCCACAATCTCCTGAAAATGTTGAAGAAAATTGTCATCCTTAAACTAAAATTGTGAAAACCTTAAGAAAATCTTGAACTTCCTTGGCCAAAGTTTCTCTCCCTAGCAAGACAGCCTTATAGTTAACCCCCTCAGGGAGACATCAGTTATTAGCCTATGATTTGGTAGCTGGAAGGCCCATACATTCAGAGATTTACCCCAGTGCTCACCTCTGTTCTGTTACATGAATGCATGACAAAGTATTGAAAGTGATGACTGCATTTTACCCACTCCATTCATCAACAGATTAAACCATCATTTCCCTACATCTTTTCAATAGCCTTTAATAACATTAAACCAGGGAATTGTATCTATTGTAAGAAACATCAGGGTAGGATATTGCTCTTGAACCACTTTGGAGTGAATTTTACCAGGCACTTTTAACCACAACACAGCAGTGAAATTGCAGAATGTCAATAGTTGGGTTCATATTTATAAACTGGAAACTAAAAATAAATCCCTTATACCCCCGACTCATTAAATAGTCTATCTCTTGGCCTAGGGAACCCCCAAAAATCTAAACACTGTTTCCAGTCATGACA